GCATTAAAATTCACACGCAATCATTGAAACCGCGAGCACAGCTAGTAAAAATATAAATGTATAAAATATCTAAACTCACAAAAATTAATGCAAACTGCAAAAGAAAATTGTTCGCAACATTAACTATTAGTTAGATACATTATAACTACAAAATATAGTGAATCTGTTACAGATAATTCTTCAATTATTTATGTTTAGCTAGAGTAAGAATTTTTACTTTCACTATTTACTATCGAAAATAAACAAATGACTATAGTAAATAATGAAATCAGTCTGTCAGTATGTAATTAACTGTCACAGTATTTTATTGAGCAACCGCATATTTACGAGTACCATAAAATACCTGTCAATAGTACCGTTAAATGTTTTCTCGCAAACAATCAAAGATAAATGTTACCTAAAATTACCTTTGGTTTATTGTTTACAAATTTTATTTCTTGCCATAAATGTGAAGAATTGCTGAAATACTAGACATTGGTTAAAGGATTTCTTGATGCTTTAGACAATACAAGTTTCCATCCCGGTGCGGTTAAAAAGGGCTAAGATTTAAATTCTTGATCTTGTTTTGTTTTACTGTGATTTTATACAAAATTGTATGTGTAGCTCTCTTGGAACCTATTTTTTATGTTAAGCAGCGTGCTTTGAAACTATATTTTGATGAAATTTACGTGGCTGCATTGTAAGTATATCATATAATATGACATGATCTTGAAAGTGTGACATATGGAAAATTTTGATATTGTCTGGTTTACCTTACTATTCACTCATATAGTCTATTCATTTCTTATTTTTAGTAGTACTTTGTAATAATATAAATATGAAAACAAATCAAAATCAACCTTTAAACAACTATGACAGTCGAGAATATTCTTAAGTGTGAAGATGTATATGGCAGTGAAATAACAGGGTATGAAGGCATACCTACCTTATGCCTTATAGTATACTTACTTCAAGAGCGTCACGTGACTTCCTGATTTCCGCCTGTTCATTTTAATAGACGATTGTATCATAAAAAAGATCTAATATTAAAACTCTCGTAATTTCTGAAAATTTACAACATCATCTTCCATTTACCATATCCCAAGGCTTACCTACTAAGAAATACATGCATGTAAATTGAATTCGAATTCAATGAACAAATATTTCCTCTTTACAACGATATAATAGACACCACATCCTACCTACTTATATCGTATGCAATATGCGAACCTATTATTATTTAACATCAGGGACACGTCCCGTTGCTCGGTCTTTCAGTTTGAGTGGCCGGAAGCCGAAGGCTTTATACCCCTTAAAGGGTAAAGTTGTAAGTCCTACCCGAGCAGTTTTGACATATCGCTTCGATTAGCATACGATTATCGAGCTCTTTTCTTGCTTTGTATACTACTAGGCTATTAAAGATTTCTTTTTCTACTATGTAACATTGTTCTGTCTTACTATTAGTCTTGGTCTGCTTTTGAGAAAATAGAAAAAACCACAACATATCTTTTACTACGTTCATAACCTCATCCATTATAAAGGTTGCTAATTAGAATTGGTTCCAATGGTAATAAAGAGTAAAAAATAATTCTTATATAGAAAAAACTTTTACGATGTGCTATAAGTTCTATAATATATTGTACGTCAAGTAAGTAAGAGAAGTTTACAGCTTTTCTCATTTAATACCAAATTAAATATCTAATATGTAGCTAACCTGAAACCCAACATTATGGTTATAAAGCTATATCACGACCCTATGTTTAATCAAAATGCATAATAGTTTATATCTAGTATCAATTATTAGGTCAAATTCAAATGTATAAGTTTAAAAAGTATGTAGCATCAATTTATAGCATTTAACGCCTACCTAGTACAGTGTAACCGCCAACCCTATTCTATTGAATTGTTATGTTCTGAGACGTTCCCGTTTTATACCGCCCCCGGTCGATACCGTAATGATTCCTTATTCCACTGTAGTCCTTCTTAAATGTGATATAAAAATTTAAGGTCAGTGGGTACAGAGATAGATGTATATGTTGGAATCACTAATTTCAAATGTTTTAATGGCTATTTATACACATAGCGATTAATCAAGTAAATATTTTGTTTATATGTGTACAATTAATTTACAATTTGACTACGAAGCTGTACTATTCTATAATTGTTCTTAAAAATACAATTCAGTGAATATCTGTTTTAGATAGTGGTTGAAAAATGATGCCTGCTTGTACATACCTAACCGCGTCAACAATAAACAGGCACTTATTTTTTCTTTGAAGCGGATTAAAAGTTAAAGGAAATGTCTATGGTACTATATCTTTTAAGTGCACGAACAAACGTCTATATTGGTTATATGGTTCAGAGCACAAAGAAAGGGAGGGCGAGAAGGCAGTATCCGTAATCCGCCGCAGGTTAGCCTGAGGCGAGTTTCGGAACATTAACTACCCGCTTAACTTCTAAAATAACTGTCCAAAATATTGATTTTACCTCCGTTTAATCGGACTACAATAGATATATAATATATAGGATGTATATACAAAGCAGATATGATAGTTATTTAAAATTTTTGTGTTCATTACACATTGTTAACAACAAATTTTATGGTAAATAAAGTTATTTACCTCTCTCACGTTTCGACTAAGTTAGAGGTACAATGTTATGGTAAATACGTTTAATTACTATAAAATTGTTCGTATTTAGATGATTTACAGTATAAACAGAAGTAGGTACAGTTACAACGCAAATAATGCGGTATATTACTAAGGGAAAAGAATGTACTACATCAGGTTGACCTTTACGCGCTCCTGGCTGGAATCCATCGTGTTTAATTCGTCACGGTGGGCTAACTGATTCATATGAGGTAGACAAAAAAGTAGTCTATAAAAGTACCTCAGTCTCACATATTTCAACCACCAAGCAACTTGCTTTGAAATTTATTTCAGTAGTAGGATGCAGTTTTAAGACGGATTGGGCAGTGAAGTTACAGGATATGAGGCATTGCAACAGTACTCTGGAATGGCAACGCATTCACGGGTGTCACATGATGACGTGGTGTCCGTAGTAGGCATTCATATATGTATATAGGCGACGGTTACTGTTTACCATCAGATGAGGAATAACGTAATACGACTGATCAATCTTCATGAGGTACCCCTGTATACAGACAAAAATATGTTAAAAAAATAACAATAAGCCAGCCTGTATCATTATTTTCGTTAATAAGCGGTCGTAAACATATAATAATTTTATATGAATGAAAAATTCATTCATATAATCAAATTATTGTTAAAAAAAATAAAGATATGTTAATAGGACTGTTTCTTTAGTCTTGCGGTTTAGCAGATCGTCTTATTTTTTATATTGCACTGAATAAAATATTTTTCTTTCTTTCTTTCTTTATTTTTGATGGTTACGGGTTTTACACTCGCATGATGACAACATCTTGTGTTCATGGCTACGTTTTCGTAAGTTTTTTATAGCATAGGAGACAAACGAACTTGCGGCTCATCTGATGGTAGGTCATTAACACCATCCATGAGCACACGCAACAAAACTGGAATTGTATGTGTAAAGAGCGCAACAATAAGTCGCTTTAATAATCAAAGAATACTATGAAACCACAACAACAGATAGGTAGCAATCAGGCTATCCAAGCGTGAAACATCAAATTGGGTTGTACAGGGAGGGAGGGTTTCCACTTGACATATAATTTGAAATCCATCGTATCGTGTTCACAAGCTCACGAGTTGCGAGGGTCCCGTCAAGACTCACTAATTCATTATGCTAACGAGACACGCTGGCTGAGACGGTGATGGATTAGCCTCTTGCATAAATGTGGACCCGCGGAAATATGTAAAAAATGGACCCATAAAAGGCAGACGTCTGACAGACAACATGTAGCGGGTTAAATGATTAAATCATGCACGCAATTTAAGACTACGATATACATGAGCGAGGGATCAACCCTTTGACCTCACTTATATTGTATGACAGTAAACCTGATCGACTGCAAAATCTTTGATATTGCTTCCGGTTTCTTAACAATAGACAAACACATTCTGATAGATTCTCTGATAGAATTTAGCAATTTTTCTCCTACTCAGCTACAATATCAATGAATAACATGTAGAGTCCCTTATTGAAAATCATATATGTAACTCAATATATCAGAAATTGTATAAGTTATTATATGACGTGAACTCTGTCTAGTACAGTTAAGTAACAATTAATCTTTATAGTTCAAATTAATAAAAATGTAAAATATTCAAATCTAATAATATCTTAGTCTACGTCAAACTACATAGTTTTATATCCTTACTCTTCTAATTCGAATAGAACCTTGCGTTTAGACGTACTTCATCTTTTTAACTTAAAACCTGTGCGAAGCCGGGACAGTTCGCTAGTGTAACCAGTTCGCCTGATCGCCGGCAGCAAGACACGTCACTAGTTATGCAAAAGTTCGGAGCGTCCTTACCATAATGTATTAGGTTATTGAAATTTTCCAAGCCCACGAAGCGCGCCAGACACTGCCACCCAACAGCCGACAGCAGCATCCCGAAAATAGCTCTTAAAAATATGCATAGCCTCTTCGCTTCCAGTTGTTTATTAAAATGATGTCGAGATTGATTAAGGCTAAGCCGAGCCTTACTAACTTGATGAAGGTTAACAGAACGGAGAAATAGTAGCGAAATAAAATTTACTGTATTATTTTTTATGTTAAATATAATATGTTTACTAAACCTTTTATTAAATTTTGTCATCCTAGAAATAGTAAAATAAAATAATTAAACACTTTAGGACATTAAATGAAAACATAATTTTGATAATGAAAATAATAACTTAATTAATAAAAAATAAAAACAAATTTAGAATAATTTAATTTATTGCATTATTATTATTATTTATAATATATTACCCACAATTATTTAGTTTAATATATAATTATTATTATATTATTAATATATTAAAAATACTAAAATTATTATACAATACATGGTATACTCAACATGTATTCGTTACAAAATGTATATGAAATAAGTATATCTAATTAACGTCTGCTATTTTATTATGTATGTAATGTCATTTAAATTGTATAGATACCACTTGAAAGGTACAGTTACATGTAAAGTTATTTTGTGCACAATTGTAATTGTTAAATTGCCTTCCCTAATTGAAAACTGTAGTTTTTAATCCGCTTCAAATTAAAATTGTCAGCAATTTCATAATATAAACTTCCATAATGGCATAAACGCTCTTTAATAAGTCATCACGAGGTCATCATTAGGTCCAGCATCTTTCGGATATAATAGATAGGTCTTTTTTTATTAAGTAGTTTTACGGCTTTGGCATCCTTAACAGTCAAAAATTTAAATAGGTACTTTCACAAACTAAATTAATGGTGGGAACTATGTGATACATTAATATAAAGGAATATTAATGTCAAAGTGTATTGATGGTATTATTGATGAAGTACTTTGAAAACGCTTAAGTATTTTGTAGAATCGACGAGAGGTACATATTTTTTTTATTAATATTTACGGCTCTAGGTACAAGTCCTTGAGAGGTGCATCTCCACTCCAGGGTTGCCAACTTCAAAACAATTTTGCCAATACTTATAAAAAAAAATATAGCTGCAATTAGGAATTTTAATAATAATTTTCCTTAGGTCAAAATCTCGTAAGATCTCCTCGCACCCACTAGAATCCTGGTACAGTTAACAATCCTGGTCTACTCGTGCAATCCTTTCCTTCTTTCGATATAAAGCATTATAACTAGACGTAAAAACTATAATGTTAACATACTGTGGTATTTATATATTATACACTAACCCTATATCTTGCACAATTTTAAGAACACAATTGAATTCATTGCACTATAAAATAAGTATCTAAGCCAAATATTCTTAGACACTATTGCTATAAACCTTCGCCAATACAATTGTTCATTAGATATAAAAAAATGGAGGCTTTCAATTCGACTAGATATGTTATTATAATACAAGTAAAGCCTATTTTGACCAAAAAATAATGAAAATGATTACACACAGTAAAAAAATCAGTACTTATCCTTTTTTGAAGTGATCTAAAAATAGATTTACGTAGCGTTATTACGTAAAAGTTGTTGTACATTTACACGAAATATATAGTACCCAGTTATATGTAAGACCAGTGTATAACTATTTTACTTTATTGTCGACAACTTCGCTATTTTCCCTTTTCTCGTCTCCAGAGTCGACTTCGATATTGTGTTGCGTTTTGCAATGCACCCTCATAACCTTCTTGCAATGATAACTTTTCTCGCAATACGGACATTTGTGTCTGCGAATACCTGTGTGTACACTTTCATGGACTCTCCGCTGTGTGGTTGTTGTGAAGCACTTCGAGCAATGAGAACATTTGTAGGGCAAGTTCCCCATATGCCGTCTCAGATGCACTGTGAGTTGACACTTCGCTTTGAACCGCTTCTCACAGAGTTGGCAGGGGAACGGCCGCTCCCCGGTGTGCCAAAACATATGGCTCTTCAAATACCACGTAGACGAGAAACATTTAGAACAAACTTCGCATTTGAAAGGTTTTTCTCCACCGAGCAACTTCATATGACTTTCAAGGCTAAACTTATGTTTGAATGTTTTGTTGCAATGCGTACATTTTATTGGGTTCGTCACGTGAGCGCTGGCCATGTGATGCTAAAAATAATAATTACTCATATAATTTTTAATTTGAAAGCAACCCAGTGTTTTGGTACTTGCTTAAAACACCAATGATTCAAATCTGGCATTAAAAAACAATATTTTCTGTTAAACCGTATAATCAATATATAAAGACCATTAAACAAAAGTAAGTAAGTGTCGTCAATCACTTTCTTAGCATACTCTTAAACCACGCAACGATATTTATAAATTTTTCACTGAAGCTTGGGGATTTTATACCTAAGATTTAGGCATATGTTTAATAAGAACTGCATATACAATATGTACGATCTCCGTCACATGTATAATAAACTGAAGCGTTAGGTTCGCCCTCTGTCACGTTAAATTCAAATATACTCTGCGAAATGTGGGCATGTCAAATGCTGCGTTCACCACAACGTCGACAGTCCCAATGTGAAATTCAGTTGTGAAACATTATTATTGTCATAGTAAAACCGCATTCATAATTTTATTTTAAAAACGAATATAAAATGTATCCAATGACTATTGCATTTTATTGTACTATAATAGAATCTGTTTGAGGAAATTCTAGCATTACAAGACCAGAATGGATAGACCCAAAATGTTTCACAAATACTGTTTTAATATTGATACAAATTAGAAAAATCATAAAGTAATAAATTAACATTGCGTTTTATAAGAATTGGCAGAACCCTTACGAGACTTTAACTTTTTGTTTGTGTAAAAAAACAAAGTTATTCTAAAAACAAAATAGTTTGCACAGTTTCATACAACAACTGTTTTATTTTAATTGACTCTATTGAAACAACAGCTTGCATGTATAAACGTTGCTGCTGAAAAAAACTTTCCTCATGTTGATACAAAAAATGTTTTGTTCCTAGTGACGCGACCCTAATAGTGAGACCGTTTATGATCATAGTGAATTATTTTATAGGTATTAATGTTAAAAAATCTAACTAAAAATTAATGCAGTTAAAGAGACCTCGCTATCATTACATAAATAGAAAAATAAATCTTTGCAAACACCAAAAATTATGTATTCCGCCCACATAATCATACATATAACAGAACAAAAATAAAGAACTCACTTTAAGTCCTCTCAACTGCTTGAACCTCTTGCCACAAGTGTCGCATATAAACGTTCTAATATTGAAGTGGCTTGCTAGATGTATCTTTATTTCGTGCCGAAACAGGCATCTGTAAAATGTCACAATGGTTAAGCACCGAATGCATTAGACGATCATCAGATACAGTGTTGCCAAGTGTAAATCTAAAATTCAACCCAAAATTTTAATATCGTATGAATATCACTTGCATATTTTATTCATACCAAACCACGTTAAACCAAACAGATAAAGTTACATTGCTGAAGAATCGGTTTGAGATTATATAGAGCGATTTTTAGTTTGTGCGGCTTAATATATGGTAATATTAGTTTTGTCTCGTGCCCGGAGAAATTCGGGAAAAAGTAATTTATATGTTAATCTAGATTATGTATCTATATACCAAATTTTATTAAAATCCAAAAAAAATATCCAATTTATAATATTAAAAGGATGTTTAATTTATCTGTTCTTAGAATGACGTAATCTTTGATTCTTAATTATAATATATATATAAACAAAGAATCATACTCATCAATACAGTTTTCTATATCGTGCTAAATGTCTAGTCTACTGACACAATCATTGTCGTATCCACGCGAGCTCAAAGAACTAAGATGTTTGCCTGTTATGTCGTACTAAATATCTTATCCTACAGACCGAAACGCAAAGTACGCTTTACTGCTTCAATAGGAAACAGGAAAAACGGTGGTATCTACTCAGGCAAGTTACACAAATCACTATACCTGGGGGAGAGGTATTTTATTTATCATTTATACCCTGCGAAGTCACACACATGAATTCCGCTATAAAATAAGTGTTAATGTAAGACTACATATAAATATATATATATTCGGAAATTTCGGATAGTTACAGTTTATAAAAGGAGTGAGGAATGCTAACATTAATAATAACAAAATAAAATACATTAAATCAATAAATCATTACACATACTACCATGTAGACACACACAAGTATTTTTTTGTTTGTGATCTGTGATCAAATTGAGAATAGATTAATATTGTTCGTCATTAATATTATTTGTGTATAGCCTTACTGAATGTTAAATTAATTAATTATGAAAATAAAATAATTTCGACCACAGGTAGACCAGTAGTACCTATAAACAAATTGTTTAAGCGTGACTGCGTAACAAATATACAGAGAAATTGCAAAATACATTTTGTATAAAATTTATAATAATTGATGTTTCGTTCATAATATCATACAGATTATTCAAAACACTACTAGACTAGCATAATCGAGTTTGTTTAGTACTCATTTACGTATTAATATTTCAAGAAATAATTCTTTAATTTCAATATTTACGTTGCATTTTCGGTAAAGAATTTTTAACGCTTGTCAATCATGCTCACGTGTCCAAAATCGCAGGTAGAAGATAGTATATAGAAACGGTAACTATAATAAACACTCACTCTTTTCCACAATGGTCGCAAATGTACTTGTTCGTTTCTTCTTTATGCAATCGCTCATGGTTGCGCCACAATTTGTAAACACGAAATATTTTATTGCAGACGGTACACATGCCGCCGTTTTTCTTCAAATGCGCCGACCTGTAATGAAACTGCAAAGGCAGGGGGGCCGGCGATCTCCTGTTACACACGTGGCAGCTGTAAATGATTTTATATTCCCTCGGATGATGGCTGAATCTGAAATTGAGCATTGTACTTTCAACCTCTATTTTTTCTGACGATCCGCAATAAGAATACTGATGTAAACAATGTTTTGTTACACATGTAACCTGGATATACATATATATACAGCATCATCCAGTCCCAAGCTACGCAGACCTTGTGTTATACAATAAAGTGGCATGCGTCAGTAACTCTGTATAACATATTTTAGGAGCTAAGAAGCCTGCTTTGTAAGTTGATTCGATTGAAAGTACCGCATACGAAACCATGATAGGCAACGCATTAGGAGTACTAAGGGCGTCACTTGATGACATGATGTCTTTGATGCTCTTCATGTATATAGGTTGCCATTTACCATCAGTTGGATAGTCAGCATGTTTGTATTCTATGAGACACTGTTTAATGTTAGTAGAGCGTCATGCGATCTCGATCTTTAAATCAATTCCGATCGGTCAACATAGAAATTCCATTATGTTGTACTTCCTCTACATTTTCCGTTCCACTGCCTTTACACGACACGTTCACGACCGATCAGGAGCACAGCCGATAGAAAAACGCGCGCAATTCTGATTTACTGTTTATATCTATTTTTTGTCTTCACTTTTTCGAGCACGATTGTTTATGTTTGCATTTTGTCATAAAAAATATTTAGACATTATGTACGTACATTTAAGATTTATAAATTATTAACAAATCTGTAATTAGGTCTTTGTTCTATGATCTGATGTCCGCCATTTTGAAGTAATAATTATTTATTATAAATAGGCCCGAGGGCATGCACGATTGGAGTACGCAGGATTGCGCGTGCGGTCTGAGCTTTTTTTTTCGGTCTACTCTAATGCTGTTGGCCGCACCTGGCCTTTACAGCTTCATCGGACGATAAGAGGCGAGTGCAGATGGCACTCCAAACCCGCGGAAGGACTTACGGAGCGGCTGAAGGCCAACTCCCGCCTGACGGATACGACTTTAGTCTGAGGGCACCACTAGGGGTTCGATCGGAGGGGGAGCGAACTGAGCGTGTAATCGTTCAATCGTTCTTTATCTCTACTTCTACAAGCACGCTTTCCCGAGTGAAATCCAATTTGCGCGTGAAAGAGCGTACGTGTAAAGGCAGCTATTCAGTGAAGTAAACGATATTGTGGTCTGTTTAATGAATACTCTTGATTGTGTTTAAAGAGCACAGTAAAAAAACTAGATTGGATTGAAATTGATTTAAGAGTAAATACAGAGAAGAAGTTTTAATATGATCTGCTAGAATTGACACAATCGAATATAGTATGGAATCGTAATAAAAAAATCTCAAACGCATTGACTAAACGACATATATTGGATTGTATTTGCCCTTTTATGGGATTATACGTGGCTTATTTCACCAATATGTTATGGCAGATGTATAAAAGGTAAAATACATAGATAGTTGACTATAAGTAAGTAGGTGGACTTATCCCCGAAAGGGATTTATTTCAGTGAATTTTTTATTTACTTTCTGCGACAGTTGATTTTCAACACCCATTATTGTCCCGCTATTAGGAACACACCTTTCATCATGAGGGAAGGATTTAGCGATTTAACTGACCTTTACAATCTTTTGCCTGAATATCATACGCATGAAGAATAAGATACGAGGCTTACTTTTGTATTCCTATCAAAACGATTAGTGAAAAGTTGTAATCTTACTGGAAATATTACAGAATCGACTATTTTCATAGCAAAAATATCATTACAAATATACAATAAAGTACACCCATATCGAGTACCTCTTTTTTAAAGTCGGTTGAACAGTAAGATTGCCAGAGAGCTATTTAAAAAGGACATTGTAGAAAATACACCGAAATCATTCGGTGTTAAAATATAATCAAAATAGGGAATTTGTGCTACTAAAATGCGCAGTTATACCAGGATCTATTGCCTTGTCTATCGACATTACTTATGTTACATTATTAGTAAATAAATTAGCGTAAGCATACAATGGAACAAGCCAACACCACTGAACATATTAGGCAAAAATTTTCAATGCTAATACTTCACAACTGTTAAGACAAATCAGGTAGGTAAAGATATTATCAAATGTTGACACAGATCTGAACTTACGACACTACCATCGTAGAGAATTATTAAACCACGGCGCTCTTAAATGAGATTCTTCGGTATTACGTACCGATGATACTGTCCTAGCCGCTAGGGCTACGACCACCGTTCTCACGACTCCCACGACTTACGGGTACCCTCAGTGATTAGCATATTCTAACTTATTTTTAAAAGTTCGCGCAAATTTTGGCAACATCAACACCATGATGTCAGCGCACATTTTGGGAACGTCAGGATAATACAAATTTATAGTCGCTGGTGGACGTGCTTTCATGGTGTCTCCTATGAAGCTGACAACTATGAGATTCGTAATCTTGTAGTGTAGATTTAATCAGAGCTCTCCAATCGGACCAATTATCTGCCAATGTCAATCTGCCAACTGTCCTACTTCGAGGAATCATTGTCAAATTTTATCTTATGAGTTCAATAAATACATTAGCGTAGACTCGAAGCGACCCGCAGCGAAGGCAATGAAATTACGATACTAATAGTTTTAAGCTATCAATTTTAAAAAGATCTAAGTACAAAGGCAAGTGTGAAATCATAAAAGTTTTGTAAAAACATTTATTATATTCAAGAATATTATGTCACTTTCGTTAGAGTTATCGTTGTACCCTTTTAACCGACATTAGAAAAGAATGCTATCAATATTTCTTTATTATTATTTTTATTTCTATGTATGAAAAAAAAATACAAAAGTTTCATACCTGTGTGTTACCATATCAGCAAAGTCTCTACCTTTAAAATCACAAATCTTGCAACTCAAATCATTATATGTTCTATGCTCTTCTATATGTTTATTTATAAGTTCCGATTCAGAAAATTGCATGTCACATATACCTACAAACGAATTAAAAATTTGATTCAGAAAGTAAGCCTGACAAGTTCAATTTTGTCCCAGTAAAGTAGATCGGAGGAAAATTGCTAAAAGTCGTCTGTGTAGATACCTCAGCCACACTTATATTTTTTAATGGATCATAATGGATATTTACACCCGCCTGCACAAACGGTTTACGCTTACGGTGCACTGGACAGTAATCAGGTCCGTTAGGCCAACGAGACAAATTCACCAAGAACTTATCACTATTTCCAGGGGAACCACATGGAAGTCAACCTGACACCCACTTTACTAACGATCTCGTTCTCCCCAAGTTTCACCTATTCCAGCATCCAAGCAGTTTTCCTTGTGAGCTGTGTTTTGGATATGAGGTGCAGATTAGGCAGTGAAATTACAGGATAAGAGGCATGACATCTTAGTCGTCTAAAATGGCAACGCATTAATGGTATCGCGGATTTAAATTGACAACGTAATGTCCATAATGCTGTTCATGTATATAGGCGACTGTTAGCGCATACATCAGATGGACCAATAGACTTGTTTGTGATGGACAATGGACTTCTTTGGCATTACAATTTTATGTAATTGTAATGCCAAAGAAGCTACTGGTAAAAATTAAGTTGAACGCGTACTGAACTGAAATGTATTTATTAAAAAAAGGCAATGACTGTAATTTCGACACAAAGAATTAATTAATCTGAAAACTGCGTATCGATAAAAAAAGTTAATAAATTGGAAGACGATGTGTAAACACTACTTTTAATGTATTAAAAAAATGACTGAAATAAAAGTGTTTTTAATTTATTTATGAAATTTTAATTAGAAATCATAAGTGTTATATGGAAACAAATTATTTGGCCAAGATGTTATGGGTTAAAAAGGCATATGAAACCATCGCGTATTTTTTTTATTTCATTTATATTACAACAGTTCGCGATATCATTAAGTGAATGCTTTTGAATAATGTGATCACTACCAATATGTAGAATTACTACCAGTTTTCAAATAAATAATAATATATTCAAATATAAATAAGTAAATATGACATAAAAAATATATTTATCGTTGATAAATATTCACAATCTCTCAAAAAATCTATATAAGAAAAGTACAGTACGTCTCGGCCACAATCAAATTGATTTTACCGAGTTGCGCTCACCGTGAAGATCTATCTATCTATAACGATTCCAAAAAACATTCTAAGAAATTTATAATTCGGCAGGGATAAATCGACCTTTTCTTAAAGATAAACAGTCTGAATGACACCCCTAAGGGATACATATGAAGATTTCATCATCTCTAAAGTAATCTATCACTTTTGGCGGTTTTCAGTCACTTTCTATACCCATCTATAGAAGTTTTACGATATCTCCTAGAACATAGAAACAAAGTTCAAATTTAATTCCCAAACCGTATCATATCATAGGACACCATAACTATGATTTTCCTCATGTATATGTATATTTATTTATATTCTTAATATAGTCTTAAACTTTAAATTATTCATTTAGACTTGTTTTTATTAAATCAACTTTTACCGCATAAGTATTCATGTAAAATCAATAATTTTATTGCAGGATATTTAATAGTACATATAATAAAAATGTGTACATGAAAGTCATACATATATATGATAAAAACTATAATGGAGTGACTTTATCAGCGTAACAGAACCTAAATGGTGTTAAAATAAGAAACAAATAATATGAAAGGAACAAAATGTAAATACAATTAACTTACCACAATAAAAATTTGGACAAATTGGTAGATCATTATCTGCTGATTTCTTCTTTGACTTACAAGCACGTTTCTGAATATGTTTTAAGAAGCTTTGTTTGTGTTCTAAAATAAAATATTCATATTAAATGAAACCATTATTTCTTACCTTATATATATAAAAATACTTAAATGTATAATAAAGAATATTGAAAAATTCTTACTGTATATTTTTTTACACACTTCACATTGTAAAGGACCATTAAAATCACTTTTTAATCTTTCTTCAATATTATTCTTAGATATTCTTTTTTCTATTTTTACTTTAATATCATTATCGCCATTCTTAACATCAACTTTGTCTAAATGTTCATCATCTTCATTTTTAATACTAAATGCATCAAAATCTTCATCATTATAAATAGAATTGATTTCATTTTCATCTTTAACATGAATTGATTCCTCTTCAATATACATTTTTTGGTCTTGATCTTCAGGCATACAAGGACTAACAGTGAACTTTTTATCATTCAAATTAACAGGAATTTCAGAAAATTCTTCTTTTACTTCATTTAATTCATCAATTTTAATATTAAGTTTGGTTGTACTTCTTTTACATTTCTACACAAAAGATATTAACAAATAAAACATATCATAATTAGGCTAAACATAAAATATATTAGGAAAATACCATTTACCACTATAGGAATTCTTTGCATACAATGTATGACAGAAAGAAGTAATAGAAAGTAGTTAAGTATTTATTGATATTCCAAATTTAATTATGTGTAGTTAAATCACTAACAATAATTTTATATTTATAATATAATTTTTGACCTATAGTAACTGTTAAACAGACTGCATAATGCAAATTAAAAAAAAATTTGACAGATAAGTATGCTCAGCTGTATTTTCATTGTTCATTTCATCATTCATTTCATTCATGAATTTATTAAAAAAATCAAAGCTATATTATTGGTTGTCTGCAACTCTGACTACAATATCAACATAGTATTGAAGTCTTTATATGAGAAATAATAGCATTACTACACAATGATTATCCTCTAACACCCCATTCACCAAGATCCAATTAATCATGACAGATTAAAAAATGATTAAAAAAATCATGACAGACTGATATGTGAACGGAAGTTTAAAAAGTATGTATTCAAAATACCCTAACTTTAAATTTATTCGAATAAAGAATCTTTTCTTTTCAATTCTATTCTAGTGTTATAAGGGTGAAAATGTAAGATACTTTTGCATTTGTAGTATTCATTAGCACTAATAGTATGGTTGCAAATGACTGAATGATTATTATATTACTATTAGATTATTTCAATACATGTAAATATATATATAGTAGGTTGTTCGGAAAGTAAATATAGCATATAAAAATTATACGACTTAAGTGTGAAGTTGAATGCAAAAACTACAATTAAATCCTAAGTTAGGAAAAATCTAATTTACTTTCCGTACAACCTAATATATACAGTTGTCAATCACCTTTACAATGAACTATATAAATAATGTTAATATGAGATATGAAATAAATAGCTTCAATATTATGTAATGACTAAAAGACAGTCCAAATCAAGAATAATATGTTACTATATACTTACTGATCTATCAGCCACAAGGGATTTCCATAGTCTATGTGATTTTAAGCATTTTCTTTTAAACTTTGCAAATTTCTTTATACTTTTTGCACATGGTGAGCATAATCTGCGAGACATGTCATCCTCATTTATCTAAAAAAATACATAATGTATTAAGTTAATTAATATTAAGTTATTTAATTCTACATTATCAGTAGTCTATAGGAATATGGGTAATATATGAGGAAAATAATAAAAGGGTAATATATATAATATTATATATTATATATTTATAGAGTTTACCATTAATCTACCACTAGGGGAACTACTAGGGGAACTTTATATGAAGTGATCAGTACAGGTCCATCTCACCTACATCTGCTACCAAGAAACTAGCTTAGTTGACAGTTTTTTATTTGAATGGTCTCACCGCTTGGCAGTAATACTATGGGATTTGGTTGCTCCTTAATACCAACCCAAATAGAGTACAACGAATTATTTAAGTACTTAAGGTATTTGCGTCAGTTACCATTTAGGACCAGGTTATCAGCTCTTATGTCAGGGCTATCAGCTAGTATGTTGGTTACATGAATAGAAAGTCAAACTACTCACTGGTAATCCAATGCAATATTCATACGTTCGCAACCAGGCACTGCCTTCCTCCAAAGATATGTTGTCAGAACATTCTGAATTAAGACAAACTCGGCACGCACCATTTTGAATGTTACTTAGTGAATTAGACATTTATAAAACAAATAACTTGCAGTCACTAATATATTTGGTTTCAAATATTTTATTTTGTTAATTAAAGACAGTAAATAACAACAGTATAAAAAAAAACAGTAACAATATCAAACAAACTGTTGTCAAAGTTGTCAAATGATAAATGTCAAAGTCAATTCCGAACGTATAATCCAGCTCAATCAAAAAATCCACTGACAGGCTGGGTAACATATTACTATCTCTGTTACTCTCGTAGAATACGCTATCTATTTTGTCTTGTCGATGAGTTTCTTGTGAACTCGTAAAATGTGTCGAATCATAGAAGAAGGTGCGTTTCGTTTTAACCCTAGTTCCTACTCTAGTCCTTTTACGTTTTATTTGACGGGATAGAAATCTATTTGTTAAATTAAATAATATTTAAACAAATATTAAATAAAAATATAAATTCATTGCATGGGTATATTTTTATTAAATTTATTAAAATGATCCACGATTTTTTTTTCTATAGCAAATTGTTTATTTGGCCTATTAATGTTTTATATGTCTGTGCGGACTATGTACGAATAAATTTGAAAAGCAACTGGCAACCAAATATATCAAATCAATATCAAAGTGGTGTAGTAGCTAAGTATTCGAGTATTAACCGATAAGTTGCAAATTTTTTCCACTATATTTATATAAGGAATAAGATAACAAATAATTATTAGTAAATTTTTAAAATAATTACGCGCGAGTATATTTTCTGCGAAAAGATTTTTTTTTTATATGAATGGGATATGGTGTTGATTTTTTATATAAAATATATGATATGATTTTCATCTATATTTTGTCATCTCAACAAAATATAGATGAAACAGCTCCATTACATCACCTTTTAAACAAAAAATACCGCTTCAAAACCTGCTCCACCGTTTAGGCATCTATAGACTACGGTAATCGTTTACAATCAGATGGGCCGAATAAACTTCCGGTAGGTGTATGAATGAACGTCTAAATACATACATAATATAGCTTCCACAGAGCAGCTCAATACTGTTATAGCATCTACCCTCAGATTAGTTATAGATGTTAGTTACTATCTATAACCAGATACAAGTAGGTGTTTTATGATCTCTGTAAAATAATAAATTTGGCAGTGGAGTGATATAACCAACACGCTTGAATACGAATGTACAGTCACCGTAGTATTCAAAGTAAAAAGAATTGGTAAATTCAACACACGTTCGCGCCCTGCGTCTCTGTACGTGCCTGTACTTTTGTCTGTAAGGGTTGGTTTACATCAGTACCGGATTAACCTAGTCCAAAAGTAGCAAATGCTACTAGTCCCGTGCTTTCACTCCTACCTATACCAATTACAATAATATAAAAAAAAATTTAAATTTTTAAATTGTGTTTTTTTATAAATTGTAAAGACTCACGAAACTAAGTAAAGTAGTGTATTTTTAAAAATAAATCTAAAGAACCGAAATCAAAATCAAACTAAAGGCTTCTCAAAATAATTTGCTATTTGCCCTAAGCAAGCCTAATCTGGCACTGGTTTACATAGATTGTACAGGAATCGAATCGATCTCTCGGAACCGATCGTTTTTCAAAGATAAGTGCTTGCTCTTCTAAGCCATATCTTCTACTAGGTAGAGTACATGATGTCAAAAGCATCATCTTCCATACCCACGTTAAATTAACTTTTTTTAGGAACACTGAATTGATGCCGGCCGAATGTAACATTTTCATATAATAGATGTTACATATTTTAAATTTTCAAAAAAGAAATATGTCGGACACATTTATATTAATTACCTCGAGTTAAAAGATATATGAAACGCATTAAATAAAAATACCTTAATAGTTACAATATTTATTTAATTGGACTGGCAATCAAGCTGACTGTAAACAGCAACCGTCGTCTATATAGATGTATACAACTACGGGAATCGTTAACATCTGACATTCGTAATAATACTCAAGCATTAAAATATAAATTTTAGAAGACATGCCTCTCATTCAGTAATTCACTGTCTAATTGCATCTTATAACTGATACATAGCTTACAAAGCAAACTGCAAAGAAATTGAATATAACGAGGTACCAACGGTCAACGCAGACGACTTTTTACCCTCTACTTCTTCTTATCTTACTGCCTTATTGTATTTATACCATAGTATTTACAAATGTTTCAGTGTAATTATTCTCTTTCCTTTATAATGCAAATAATAATATATTCTATGTATCTATCTATTGTTGGTATTTAGGATCTCCTTACTTAAGAAATAGTTACATATAAGAAATGAAATAGTTGCTCTCAAAATAATCGTTCTCCGTGCTATACCATACATACGATACTGGATAGTGACTAAGAAATAATTATATTTTGATATCCATACTACTTTTCACCTGTGGCTTCATAGGCGTCAACAAAATTGATTGACAGACTGAAATAAAAGCCTTTCTATGTCCATGTCCGTCCAAGTTTCGGAATGAGTTATACCTACGCTAAATTATATTGTTAATAATTATAATGAAATAACAAAGAATCAACATTTATAGATTATAAATACGTCTGTTATAAGATCCGTTTAGTCGTGAAAAGTTAACTACTGTTAGTTAACTTTTCACGACTAAATGGATGTTAATCTAATTTTACATGAAAATAGATTAAGATAATTTCGATTACGTCAGTTGAAGACTGATAAAATACCACACCAAAATCGCATTCGCCTTCCATTTAGCAACTATACTGACTCCGACTCGCATACTGATAGACACATGATGATTCTATCATCAGGACGAAGATCTTCTTTCTTTAAAAATAATATGGAAGAGTTACGCAACTTACAAGAGATGAAAATTAAATTAAATTCACATGAAATATGAGATATCAGATTTAATTAGAGAGAAGGTAGCGGTTAATGTCTATTATATTTAAATCTCCAATCAATATTCCTTATGCATGTACATATGTATATATATATATATATAAGTTTCGTATCATCAGTATTTATCAGTATTTAAAGAGTAACATGAAAAATCGTAGAAAGTGGCAAGAGCTCCACCGACAACAGCCTGGCTCTTAAATTATGAATGAATGAATAATATAAGTATTTTAATTAGAAATTTGAATAATATATACCCTGTGAAGTTTATACAAATAAAGATGAATTATTTTTTATTTAACTGAAAATTGGAATACGCACTGTTTATTTTCTTTTAGTGAGACTCTAACTTTATTCGTTTTACGCATCAGTTTTGTAAATGTAATGAAGGCAATTTATCTAATCGAATATATCTTTCGAGTCTGTGGCTTCCTAAAGACGCTCTAGAATTTATGGAGTTGAATACCAGCAATTTTCCTTGTGATTTTTACTACAGATAATTTAAAAATATTTATGGTCATAGTGATCAAATAAATCTCAATAAAATAATGCCTTTTACACACTTAGTAGTATGTAAAAGGCATTATACTACAGCATTGTGCAGTTCATACGGTAACTATGAGTAAGTCTATATACTATATATATATAAATATATATATATCTTTTTATCTACAATAACATTATTATGAAAACAGTTATCTGTGGTGCTACTAAATTTGATAGGAAGAAAAAAATATCATAAAAATGGATTGGTCGCATAATATTATTATATTATCGATACTAAAAATGTAATTTAGAATATTCTTATTTTAAAGATGTTTGGAAATACATACATACAAATATTACAAATATGTATATACTAAAATATGTCTAGGTATCTGTTATCTGTTCACAACTAAAACTTTGAAAGTACTTAGAAATATAAGCTATCTTTCTTTTTAAAAACGGAGACCCCAGAGGAGGTCGATATTACAATTCTATTATAATTTCATTACCTAGGAAAAACAAATACACCATTACGACTGTTAATTCAGATGGTGTAGTCAGAGGCATTATCAATTATCGATGTTTTGATGAACACAGCACTTTACACACCCATATTTCGCTTGGCATATTTGAATTGAACGTGGCGAGCCTACCACTATCTCCCAGATAAATGTTTGGTTCATTTTAGGTGTTAGCTTCCCCGATGAGTCAGTCAGAATCAGTCATAAATTGTCACCCAATTTTTTTTTGTGCCAGGTTTCTCACGACATCATAGATGTCATTTAACGTAGTAATCCACTAGGTCACGATGCTTTGGGCGGGAGAAAAGGAAGATTGCTGCCCCTACGATCTCGTCCGTCGTGAGCTGAGTGATATACCTGTGTGTGTATGTGTGTGTGTGTGTGGTGGTACTTATTTGAAATAGGAGCGAATGGGTACTTTCCTAATATAAAAACCGGACACGTACTATATTTTACAAATTAACAGTAAAACAAAACAACAATGTCCTTAAATTACTAATTAGGAAGTGGAATCATATGGACGAAATTCCTCTCAAGGTAATATAATTTCTTGTTGTAATAATGACATAATATATAATATGAGTGATTGATTCAACATTATTAAAGGGCTTTCGTACACTTTTTTCGTAGACCTTCTACGTAGATGCTACGAAATCGTAGCAATTTTGTTATATAAATATATATGTTGTTTTTAAATATAAATATTGTAATTTTGTATAACTTGTTATATTTTTACAAATATACTTTGGCACATTTGATTAATGAACCATAGATAGGTACTACAGGTTGCGTAGATCTGCTGCGCATGGACTCTGAATTCACTATTTTCACAGTTAAGATAGAATAGAATATTACGTAATATTATGCTTAATTTATAACAAAGTAGAGGAGAAAATTAATAAATAGGTAATATTCTATTGCCTATAATAGAATATTACTTATTTATTATTATTATCATTGTGGCTTACTGATGTTCTACTTTAATTCGACTTTAGGGCAGTGATTTCAAATATAGCTGACACTTAAAATATTCAGGTATATGTTTATATTTCTGACTGATTATGATTACTCTGATGATGGAACTACCGTTAACAACCCTAATTATTTCGAGAGACAGAGGTAAGCGCCACGTTGTATTCTATACATGCCGTAAAATGAAATCGCCTCTGGTTATACCGTCTGAGTCGTAAAGTTATATTATTATTATGTACTGTATGAATATACTTAAACATTTGAGGTAGTCATGGACCTAATACGTACGCATACGGAGTTTTTCTCACTTGTCGCAGTCAGCGCATACTGGAGCATTATTCCATCATCATCCATTACAATTTTGTAATACATATAAGTACCCATCAAAACGTAGTCTTCAAGCGGAATTGTCTCAAAAAATGTATACATTCGGCAGAGGGTAATTTAAATGATGACAGTAACATAATACTGATAATTATCAGTTTTAGATTCGAGTATTAAATTAAAACTTCAAATAAAATTGATCCCTTTCTCCCTTGTACTCGAAATCGAATACGAATTAAGTTTAACAGAAAGTAAACATCTTGTATTAAATTTCCTCCAAACTGTTCATACTCAGTTTTCAACTTTAAATACTTTAAGTACTTTAATGTTTGAAAGTGTAACAACGGCCCGTTGAAAAGGGAATACTCGGCCCTTTCATTAATCTCATGGTGACAGAGAAACTATAATGTCTCTACGTTTAAGATTCGATTTATCACAGAAGAGAAAGACTGTGAGTTTATGTGGGTGCGTGCGTCATTCTGAGGGCAGGTGTCCGTTGCTATTTACCGTCCTACTTATTCGAGAATCGTACTCTGTGGGGGCGTAGTCGCGTATAGATCGCGGGGCAACCAGTGAGTACCCAAGTGCTGGCTCGCGCGGACGCCTCGCACGCTACCTTCCAAACCAAGTGAGACGCAAATACCTCCCCCAAGGGGCTAGAGTGAGAAGCAACAAGCGACGGCCGTTTCAACAGGTCGTTATTGTAACTTCAACTAAATGGTGATTCCGTGCAATAATTCTTACTTCAGCTGTACTTTTCTTTTATTAAATCGCTTGCTTAAACTTTTATAAGTTGCGCGCGGCTCCATAAAGCCTCGGACTTACTTTACAAACAATTTTTATGATGATTCGGTTTTGCGTTCGGATTATAATGTTTATTATTGTCAAACTTCCCGCTCTTCTGGCACATGAGAATCTGAAATTTTATTATCCAATGTTTTTCCATTATTAAGTTGGCCGGTTTGTTATCATCTTGTTATATTGAGTACTATAAGTAGTACTCTTGTACCTGAAACATTATATCCGTCTACGTTATATTCTATTATAGTCTTAGCTAATTAATGATTAATATACGAAACTAGAAGCACGCACTTATGCGTAGAATAAGGACGAACTTCCGCTATATGAATTTATTATGCGGAATTCACCTTAATATTTGTGTAATAAAAATTAGAAAATATATTTACATTAAGAATTATAGGGTAGATATTTTATTAATATCAACATATTTATAAGTATATAATAAATTGTTTGCCTGCGTTTAATGTATAATTATTTTTCTGCAGTGTCAGAAAAATAATTATACATAATATATAGAATTACAATGAAGTTTCAAGAAACTAGAGACAATTTCCGTTGCAAGGAATTTACAACTACACTCTTGGGAATGTCTTAGCATATACTATTTCAACATGTTCATAAATTTGTAATGCACATTGAAAACATAGCTTATATACAAAGCTATACCCGGCTTTAGCATAAGATGATACGGAGTTCTTACCCAACATCAAAAAGAAAAAAGTTCTGAAACCATTTTTTTATCATATCGTAGGATTCATCAATTCTGAACGAATTTCAATTATAATTATTACAAATGATAAGATATATGTGTGGATTCTATACCAATTAGAATTTATTTAAATCGTAATATTTTTGTAGAAAAACATAACCTGTGCAATTAATTTGTTACCAAAATTTTCTATCGCCATAATTACTAAACATATAAAAATAATAGTCTGTAATATGTAATAATACCTATAAACTATACCGTTTATGAATATCTGAAATATATTAAACAATATCAATGATAGCTTCCATTTATTCAATAAATTGACGTGATTTAAAGTTGATTCAAAGCATCCGGCATCGCTTTTGAGTCACTCCAATTTCCTTAATAGAGTGAATAAGTATTATTTTGCTTATAAAACAGCCAGTATCTTTGATACTTAGTTATATTAAAAACAAAACCGAATCGAAATGCCTTCCTATGAAGTACGTAACGCAATGTGGATTAAACTTGAAGTAATCAAATAGACTAATAACAATTAAGGTCAATCGATTAATGAATTTGATCAAATAATGATGGTCGGGTTGAACTTCAATAGATTAGTTTAATCGTCGAAATGTTTTGACGCAAACAAACCCTACTCCTAGGTATATTACTCTCAAATTATAATTAAATCATAATTGTTTAGATTAGAGTTGTATTACGTGTCACATAAAATATAGTTCAAATTAATAAAATAAAAATCAGTTTGAATCCAATGTAATTGATAGAAGACAACGTCTAAAGTCTCTACTAAGGATTTAGATTTATAACTTGGGGGGTTGCCAGTAGTAGGCAGGCCCCAAGCCTTTTAAATAGCGCAAGAGATTGCTAAATGTATAATTTAGAAGATTCTTATGAACATACCTTACCTACCTTGGACTCACAGACAAATACAAATCACTAACAAAACATATTTGGCGTAAACACTTCTGATATTTTTGTATGGCATGGCATTTCTACGAGACGGAAAACCGTGACCGCGTTACACTACTTCGTAGCACAGCTTTCTTGTAGACGGTCTGTTCAGTTAAACCAAGCACCCATTCCATTTGTAAGATTTAGACAAAAAGGTAAAGATTTTCACTAGCTGATTAAGTAAAATTATAATATTTCATCGATGCTATTAGATGCTATTTTGTGGAAGCCCATTTCACTACATAATAAATATATATTATTTCTACGTGTCGCAATATGAGTGTAGACTCAATAACGATCGTTTCTATCGTCTGATGGCGATCAGAGAAGGTCGTAATGGTAGTCAATATTCCACACTGAATATTTGTGATCTCACACATGCAAATTTTAGCAGAATTAAACAAAATAATATAAATCCATTAAGTAGTAAGTAAAATTTGTAATAATTCGAAATATTCACCAGTTTTACATTTGACAATCTGTCAGTGATCGTAATTGTCAATTATCAAAAATAATAATAAATATTTGTATATAAACGAACAAACTGTGAATACATATCGATTGCCCACTAATCACTACATCTTAGCACTTTGCTATTAATAGAGAGCGGTTAGAGATTAAATAGCAATGAATAGACCTAATTTACAATTTCTAAATCGCTTTACAAATTTAACAACAATGCTAATTGTCGATCGCTCGCAAAACGTGTTTATGTTAACACGAAATGTCGATTGATGACGGCTATTATTGGGCAATTATCTGCTATCACAAACCGTTTCTAGAATACGTAACCAGACAGCAATTTTTTGTTTGACTGCAAAACAAAATCTAATATATATAGCCGAAGACTATGTTTTGTTTAATGCAGAATCTACTGGTTAGAATTGAAAAATTCTTTTAGTGATGGATAGCGCGTTTATCAAGGTAGACTACTAGCTCGGCTCGGAAAACATTAATATTGCCATTGAAAAATAGGTAGAAAAGTGAGTATTTAGTTTTTTGATGGCATATAAAAAAATACAAATTAAAAAAAATACTACAACCATATCACTTAGGAGTATAAAAACCGGTTAAGCCGTTTCGGAGAAATATGGCAACTAACACTATATCACGAGAATTTTGTATATAGGTCAGCTTATTTTTAAAAGAATATATATATACCTATTATAACCTGATTTTAATCTGAATATATTATGAATAAAACCTGTATAGTCACATCATTGTGAAATAAGCATATAGATGTATAATTAAAAAAAAATCGTTTTGTATAAAATTAAACATATAAAGTATTTCTATCAAAGTATATACCTACATATTACATATGTAATGTATTTTCATAAAACATATCGCAAATACAACTTGTTTTCTCTTAAGTACATAGTTCAGTAAGAACTAGAGGTTGGAACTGTTACAAGAGCCCACCCCTTATAAGTTCTAAGTTGGGAACATGCACATGACGCTTCCAATGTTGCAATGCATAATGTTATACATTAGAAAGGGTATATGTTTGTCTGTCTATTTGCTACCTTTTTACGATGAAACAGCTCGACAGATCTTAATGAGAAACATGATGATAAGCTTACCGATATCCTTACTAATATTATAAATGCGAAAGTAACTCTGTCTGTCTGTCTCGCTTTTACGCCAAAACTACTGAACCGATTTTAATTAAATATGGTATACAAATAGTCTAGAACCCTGAGAAAGGATATGTTCTCAGGGTCTAGACTATTTGTTTACCATATTTCATTAAAATTGGATGCTACTTTTTAATGCGACAAAAGTTTGAAAAGAGTTGAAAGGGGACATGGAAGTATTGTCATCTTTAAAGCTAGAAACTTGAATTTATTTTTTAGACTATTGATTAAATATAAATAAATATGACATTCGAAATATATAATTATTTTACCCTTAAGGATGTAACCTAAGATAAGAGAAGATAGTTTTTTGGAAATACGTAATTTTTTAGGGTTGGATTTATTTCTTTATTTGGTCAATGTCTCTTTAACACGCGGACAAAGTCGCGGGCACAACTAGTATACTATAATTTATCTCAAAAAATATTCTGGTAATGGATGAAACACGGAATAAAATTTTATACAGACAAAGTCGAAGGTAAAAGGTAGTAAGTAAGTTAGGTGTTTTTCCTCGTGCAATATAATCACAACCCCTTATTGTGATACCGTATGCTTCATTCTCACCTTTATTATAGGTATTCAATATGACATTGAATCGACAAGGAGCTGTTGTAACTACTGTTTAGTAGAATAAATCACTATATGTACTTATAATAGACTTATTGATTTTTACTCCTAACTTTACTTTTCACCTAACTACCAAAAACGATGATAATGGTTTATGACTTTTTAAAACATGGGTTTTTTTAATCATCATATAGTTCTCCTTTTGTAATTTTAGTCAAATTTGAAGATTGGAACGTTTTATAAAGTATAAAATACTTCAAATATAAAGTAATATTTCTTTTTTTTTTTAATCTTCAATATACTATTTTACTAGTAAAAAAGTTGCATTGAGTTGTTGAGTTAGAAAGTGGTAGCTGTTCGATCAAAGCCGTGATAATATAGTCTATTTCTAATACCGAGGCTGATTTTAAAGTATAATTCCAAAAAATTGTCAGTAATTGCAGATGTAGACAAAGAATGATACCGAATTAATCCATAAATGTAATCACTGTGATTGTCTTGTTTATAGTCGAAATTCAGGGAGCAAATTGAAAAAGGAAGTTAAAAATGCAGATAATTGAATTAACGTTCAGATTTAGTAAAATATATATTGTTACGATAAAATATTTATATTATTATTTTTAAGTTAACGAAATCTTAATACCTTCCATTAATCGATCTCAATCTTAGTTTACTTATAAATAAAGTTTAATCTGCAGAAGTTTCAATATTGGTGTTGTTTTCACTGTAAAGGTGGGTTTACATTATAGGATATATGAAATATGATTACTACTTTGTTTACAATTATTTAGTCTACGTCGCTTTAAAATTATGCACCTTTCATACATAGACAGAATATCTCAAATCATAACCAAATGAGCCTCTATCTTTATAACATTACCTAATATAGATAGACAAAAGTGAATACGAAAAAAGTTAAATTAATACTTGAAATACACAAATCAATATAAACTTACTACCACTGCTCCACTCCTCCTATCGATCCCCCATCAAATTCAAACGAGGATCAAAATTACGACGGCCTGA